ATGAGCAAGAAATTCATTGCTTAAAGAAATAAGCGTACTCAAGGAAGTAATGATGGTTTCATTCGCATGAAAACAAACAGGATGGTTTAATTTGGTGTAATATGGGGTATTTTCCAGAACAGAAAATGGGATTTGGGGAAACTTCAGTCCCAAAGGAAGAAAAAGTTGTTCATTTGCACATAGTATTGCGATCTACTGGACCAATGAAGCAACTTTCAAAGACAGCTTTCCCTCCAAATACTGCATTAATGTATTGGACCCAGAGGAAAATTTTCAGGATTTCAAAACTGAAATCTCACAGAGGAATAAACAGAAGGAGGTGGGCATGAATAACAGGTCAGTATAATAAATATGCTTTAAATGTATGTTCTGAGATCAGAGTGCAATGTTAGCAAAACCTCAGCCAAACGAAGACAGAATTTCTATGTGAGAGAATATAAAAAGTTGATGCTTAAGTACAATGTCTTCCTGGTAAAGAAGGTTTCCAGGGAGAAAAACTATGCCAGGTCTCTTCTGACCAGCAAATTTCACAGAAACGGCAGACTCGTGTCAAGAGAATCTTGTAAATGAACATTCCCAGCTGCCTGCAGAAAAACCAAGGAAAAAGCAAAAATTCTTCATTAGAAAACCAAAGGGAAATAAATCACAGTTTGGAACGGACAGCATGAGAAAACTGTCACAAATGCGGTAAAGTCTGCAAAGTATGCAATTTGTTTACTTGTTTATTTGAACGTGGATTATGTTGAACACCAGTATTTTGGGAGCCACTGGGCAAAACTGAAATGTAACACCATGATTACAGACCGGGTTAAAATCTTGCTGAAGTTAGAGGTGGCAACATTATACTTCATGAACAAGAACCCATCACGCTTACGCTCAGATACAGAGAAAAGAAACACTAGTGGCCTTCAAACTTAAGTATCTATCACCACCCAAAACAGAGCACATTCAAAATTGAACTGGTGTGAATTATGTGGGAAAAGAGTTGACACAGCCTTTCACAGGGTATTGCTTCAATAGGAGAGAAATAGCAAAATATACTGCCAAAAAAGTGAAAGAACATATAATCAAGGACACAAAGAAATTGAAAATGATATTGAGAGACACAAAACATGCACACGCAAATAGGTTTGTTTATGCTAAGGGTTTGGGAAAAATGCTTGCTCACCGAACAAAGATGATGCTTCTTTGCCATTTGATTCCTAGTATCTCAAGGGAAAGGGAGAACTTTGTATCTTTTCAAAGAAAAAAAGTCAAAGAACTATTTGACTCTGCAACCATATGTTTTATACTCTTTTTTTTTTTTTTCTCCTACATCAAAAAAAAGTACGAGCCCCACATTTCTGTTGGACAGCTGTTTAAATCATACAGGTAATCTGGACAACATTCAACTAAACACAAAAATGCAAGAATTTAAAGTAACAGTAACCTATACATGCATTTAAACCACAGCAACCAAAAGTCAAGCATTTAAAGGAACTTCCATCTTTCAGCAGCAGTAATGACAGGCGAAAGCAGTAAAAAGCAACTGCTACTTCATCTTATGTTAAATAACTCCTTTTCTACCTCCTGTTGGAATAAGATTCACTACTCAATGGAGAGCACTATTCTTTTTTGTGTTCTTGTTAAGTAAGGCAAAGCTCAAAGAGCATAATGAATACTAGTGAGCAACAGATATCAAAGCAAAAAAAAACGTACACCAATCCCATTAGTATCACCCCATCCTCGATTTGGCTTCCCCATCCTTCACTCTGCCGTTCAGCATGAATCTCCCTACGGAACTATCCCTTTATTTTTCTATGTTTCTTCCATATTTCCACATTAGTTGTTCTCCCTTAGCCTAACATATGCTCTGAATTCAAAACACTTTTTTTCTTCCCGCTTTATTATTTCAACTTGCATGTGTTCTTACATCAACTTAGCTCTCTAACTACTGATGGTTTTCCTGCTTTCCAACAAGGACATAAAAGAATTCGTCAAAATACTGTCTACATCCAGTACTACTCACAACAGCACTCCCCAGTAATCTCTCAACCTATGTTTGCTGCTTACCACCTCCTTCTTATGTTTACTGCAGCAGCTGTACATTGATATTCATTTACTAACCTAAACAGCCTCGGAAGGCACTGCTAGCAGAGACACGAAAACAAACAAGGTGTACGCAGCTCTGTGCAAAGACAAGGGAAATCAAACAGGAGAATCAATGAACAGGAGACATAACCAAGAGACTACAAAGAATAATACGAGACAGCATCAGGTCCCTTTCCGAGTCACTACAGTAATATTATATAGTCTGTACTATTAATATAAGCCCTGGAGTCCAAGTCCTTCCCAGTAAGAAGCAACGGTGATGTTCATCATTCTGCTGATCGGGTGGAAAGGACAGGGAATTGAACAGTCATGGTACAGTAGCCAAGAAAGTTCTCCCAGAACCAGAGCTGCAGGAGGGCCTGCACACACTGGTGTCCTGACATACAGACCTACGGTTCTGCTAACAAGAGGATCCAAGTCAATTCACCATCCTGACAACACTGCCAGCTTGTTCCTCAAAATGAGGGCAATCCTTGAAGTATCACCATTTTGCACAGGGACTCAGCTCCTCCCATCAGAATAATCCTGCCAAACCCTGACAACACATGACTATGTACAAATACATACCAAAACAAAGCCTGTGCTCATCACAGGTGCGAATGATAATCCAGTTATCAAGTGATACTCATTTTATTTCCAATTAGCACTACAATTTCTTTTGAGAGGTAAAATTTGGAGTGTTGGATTTCGACAAAAAGTTTATATCAGTAAAGGTTGTGTTTTGTTTTTTTTTTTTAAATGAGAAATTTGAGTAAAGAACCTGTTTAAACAAGGAAGAGGATCTAAACAGAAGCAGGAGATGAGACAGAAAAAGGAAAGAACCAGAACAGCAGCATGGTTACTGGCAGCAGCAGGAAGAAGTGAGGATACTGAGGAAAGAACTCCTGCCATACCTGGAGTTGCAACATCTCTGGTTAGACGTTGCTCCGGCCCATCAGGATTACCTAACATATGAGAACAAGGCGCTTTCCACACAATGCACAGCTGCATTAGGTGGTTGTGCAATCCTAGCTACCTAAATAAACAGTTCTCTCATTCATTTCACCCCTCAAATATGTACTCAGGCTAGTATTTTGGTGTGAAATCCCAGATTTATTTCAAGTTTAAGACACTGTTAAGTTCAGGTGTTTCATATTATGAGTATTCTTTTATCAGAACAACTTACATCCCCAAGTGTAACCCGCTTACAAACCTTACTGGACATCTAAATATTATCATTCAAAGTGTAAGCTGGAGTCAAATTTAATCAAGCACTTCACTGAAAATTCACAGTATTGCACAGTGGTTTGTCAAGAGCAGAGAAAAGTTCACCACTATTAAAAGCATGCCCATTTAAAAAAGCAAAAACAACCTGTCCTTCATATCCTGCATGCATGTTGTCTGTTCAAACGCATGCACCCCACCACTAAAGCTTAAATGTTGAAATTCTGCTCCTAATACTTGGTAAATATATCCCAGACATTATTCAAAATGGGGACTACCGCTTTTTCCAGACAAGGTGCTCTTATTATAATAAATCACAATAATGGAAAAATGTAAATTAAAAAAAATCTAAGCTATCAATAAAAAAAGGCCCAGCAACAACAGCGCTACTACAAAGACTTAGAGTAAATCTTGTCGAATTTACTGGTAAGTTCTTTGGCTTGGCAATCATATTGGAAATTTTGTTTTACCATTACCCATACACAACTTATTGTAATTGCCTTTGTGAATCACCTGAAGCAGATAAACAGGTAATAACTCATCAGTGTCTCTTCTAATTTAAAAAGTAGGAAACGCCAAATGAAAGTAGCAG